TTTCCTCTTGCTCTGATTTGAGGACTATGGGATTTGGCGAGTGGCAGGGCACTTCTGTATTTTCCTCCTCCTTGGAAAGATGTAAAAAGCACAGCTTCTCTCAGGAGCTGCCCACTTAGATTCACAGTCCGAGGGCTCCCAGGCCCTGTGGTGGGCATGAGAGCCCAGGCTCAGCTGAGGAAGGGCTGGAAGGGTTTCTGCCCAGATCCACCAGTGAATCAATTGCCAGTCTTTTGTTGCCTTAGAGCCACAAGGATTCCCGGATGGCAGTGGGAGAACGGGCACCTGTGAGCCTGCGGCGGGCTGTGGTTGGGGGAGTGGTGCTGGGTCACACACGTGGTCTTGTTTAGTCAGGGACTGGGATGCAGCGGAGCAGAGGCTGGCTAGAGAGGGCCAGAGCAAGAGGCTCTCTTCTGGGGAGGACTTTCCCAGGGGACAAGGCATGCCTTGGCTCCTCAGTCCCTTGAACTACAAGGGTCTGGGCTAGGTTATTTATTTATTTTTATTTATTTTTTATGTGAGAGGGTACATACCACATGAGAGAAAAGGGGGTGGGAGGGTAAAAAAGAAAGCATCCTCCCCTCTCCCGAGGGGCCTAGTCACACTGCAATCCTTTCTCCTCCAAGTCTCCATCTTGTCAGACCCTGGGTCCTGCAAGTACCTGGCTTGTTTTAAGCTCCAGGGGCTGGGATTTGAACCCTAGTTTACCACAGGGATGCAGCTTCCTCTGCACAGTGCTTAGCTGCTGCGCTATGGAGCTGGCCCCCTGAGCTGGGGTCTTGAAGTGAAGAAAGCAATGGTGGAAAAGTCAGGTCCTGGGAGTCAGAGGCCGAAAGAATCTGGCCAGGTGACATACTTGCAGGCCGGATGCTAAGGGCCAGTCGTTTAGACTCAGAGCCTTGGGTTCCTCAGATGGAAAGCAGCGATAATGGTGCCTGCCCATCTTGAAGGGGTGGGGTGAGACTTAGACTAGGAGAAACAAACCGAGTGTCTCATGTAGCGCCTGCCAAAGAGTAGATAATTAACGGCGGCTGCCCGCCCCCTGCCATTACCGTTGTCTCTGCTGCTCAGGAAAGTAGCAAACAGGCCTCCCGAACAAGTAGAGGGAGTGCGGTGGGATGTCAGAGTTTGCTACCCTCGCCTGTGATTTCTGTCACCTCTCTGGTTCCTTATCTGTGAGAGGAGGGGGTGGTACCAGTTGATCATCAGGCCCCTTCCTGCTCTGACAGCCTGGGGCTATGAATAGAAGGGGCTGGGGCCTCCGAGGAGTTTAATGACTCAACAGCTAAAGAGGTTAAGGTTTCCCAGGAGAAGTTTCCATTGTATTTAGTGAACTTAGGGCCCAACAAAGGAAGGGGTTGCTGGCTGGGAGACCGGGATGAGGGAGCCGGAGGAATGCTGGCGGCCAGCGAAGACTGTGACTAACCAGGTGAATGACTAAGTCCGACTCTGATGACCTCCAACCAATCAGGCTGCCCGCGAGCGCCCTGCAGGCTGGCATCCCTGAGCTGTCTTGGCTGTGCCAGGCCCGGCTGGAGCTGGGCTTCACAGCATATGGAGGCAGAGGAGGGAGGCAGCTAAGAGGGCAGGAGGGAAAGCCCTGGGCTTGGAGAAAGAAGGCCCAGCTTCCCGCTCTGCCTCCGCAGCTCCCCAGCTGGTGACTATGGGCCTCTCCCGGCTCCCGCTCCGTGCCTTCATCCATAAGCCAGAGCTAAAAACACCTGCCCGGGGAAGACGGAGAAGCAGGACATGAGGTGAAAGTGCATTGTGACTGCTGAGATGCCAAATGACTGGGGGGTCCTGTCATTACTCCATCCCAGTGGGACTTCTGGTATCTCAGAGGGATACATTCAGGTTCCTAAAGGAGTCAAGTGGACCTGGCCTGCGCCCTTGGCTTTTGGGTCCAGATCCACCTAACACCAGTCTAACGTGGGGTCCCTTCCAACCTCCGATTGCAGCCTAGATGTGTTTTTCTTAGAGCAGAGCCTCGATGGACAGCTTCCAGCTAGATGGCCTAGCCAGAGTGGGAGGTGACAAAAAGCCAGGGGTGGCTGGTTGGGGCAGGGATGGAACAGGCAGTGGCAGTCTGGGGCCGCCATCGAATTAGGGTGGTGATCAGAGGCTGCTTTTCATCTTCCCCAGAACTTTATAAATCGATAATCATCAAAACCACACTCTGCCTCTACCCCCGGCTCTGAGCAGGTCTCTCAGTGATGACTGGGGGAAATGGCAGGGATGGAGCAGAGGATGAGGACCTTATGTTTGCACACACCTTCAAGCCATCACTGGTGTTCTCCGAGGGCTCACAGCCTCCGGGCCTTGGCTGGCACTGAGCAGAGACAGAGATGCTGGGCCTTACCCAAGTGGAGGCTCATTACAGTTTAGTCCCCAGGAAAAAGCACAGACGCTAACCTGTAAATAACCATTTGAAAGAGTCTACACCATGTGCCTCAGGTCATCTGAATGGTTAAGTCCTGCAGCCACCCGAATGGCTTTGAGAAGGTGGGACTGAGCTGGCCTAGAGGTTAGCTTGGATGAGATAAATAGAAGACAGAAAAAGGCGTGTTAGACAGGACCACGTCTTAGGGAGCAGGGGAGTGGCATCATGTGAGTACGAAGAATGACGTGAAGTCTGACATAGAGGTTGGAGCCAGGTGTGAAGGGCATTCCCCTTTGGGGTAAGGAGCACGGGGCAGACTCCCAGGGCAGCAGGAGCACTGGGGCTTCTGAGAAGGAAATTGGTGTGGAGAGTTGCACTCAGGGAGCTCCTCTCCGGCAGCATTGCTCAGGGGAGTAGCCTTGGAGGGGAGGGGGCCAGTTGGGGGGCTACTGTGAAGCTGGGGTCCTTGGGACCAAGAGGGAAAGGAGGCACATAACTGGGCCCGGTGCGTGGAAAGACGGGGAAGGCAGGCCAAGGAATGCTCGGCCTGACGCTCCAGGCAGGTGGCAGGGGAGCGTGAGAGGGAAGGAGGCCCCAGGCCAAACCTGATCCTTCTTGGGGAAGCAGGCTCCTCTTTGGGCAAACCTGAGTCTGACCATCCTACCCTAAACTCACAGGGTTGGCAAGACCCAGAGGTGCCCCAGCTGGGTCACACCCACTTCCAGGACCCTTTTCTCCCTCTTCTAGGAGAAAAATCCAGAAATCACGTAGCACGGCTTCGAGTTATCCCCAGAGGGCAGCGGAGCATCAGAGCAGAGACCCGCAGTGCCAGGCTACAGGGACTGCATCCAGTCCTGCCTTCGACCCCCCGGACTCCCGTGGCCTCCCAGGAAACAGTGCCATCTTGTCATGGGCTATGCCAAGTGGCAGTGAGCCCCGGGGAGCCCAGCCAAGGCCAGGAGGGACATCAGGGCGAAGTGAAGGAATGAGAAAGACGGAGGAAGCTGGTCCTGGACGCATCCCAGTGGGCTTGGGGGGAAGGTGAGCTTCCAATCTCAGAATCCAAGCACGTCAGGGCTGGAGGAGCCTTTGAGATCATTTCAGCCAACTCCTCCTTGTCTGGAGGTGAGTGAGAGACCCAGGCAGGGAAGGGACTTGGCCAAGGTCGTACAGCTGGCTAGTAAAGGCCCCGGGCTGGAATCACAGGTGTTGGGAGTGGGCAAGGGGTTCCTTCTGTCTGGTCACCTTTGAATAGCACCATCCAGGGCCTGGCTAAAGAGTCCTCTCCTGGACATCCATTGGTGTGGTGTGGTGTGGTTGTGGTTGGTGTATGATGTGTTACACACTCACCTGGGTATGCCCTGTGCACCTGTATGCGTGTGTGCCTGTGTTGGTGTCAGGGAGTCTGGTGGGTGTGTGTGGCCTCTACCCTGCCATCTGCCCTG